CACACACCCACACACACACTAGGGCAAACAATGAAGCGAAATTTTTGCGCTCTGGCATCCTTAAGGCGAAATGTAATTTCCTGTGACAAAATACAAAGCTAATCCCCACACAGAGACACACACACACATGCACACACACACACCGAGACAAGGTTGCAAGCGAAGCTAAAGTTGGCCAAAGGATTTGTGTGTTTGGCCGTGTGGCTCAAGTGTAGCAGCCAGTGACTTCGATACGTGCAGCGAGCCATGAGAGCTGGACTGACTGCTCCTCTCGCTGATGCTGCCGTGGCTCCTGCTTCTGCTGCTGCTTGCCGTGAATCCGTTGTCTTAGTAGGCAGGTCAAGGCTTTGCGGCTCCGATGGCTCCTTGGCATTTGGCATTTGATGAGCGTGGTGAGCCCTTGGTCTTATTGCAGGTGCTGCACTAGTAGCTGGAGTGGCTATCGAGCCAGGACACAGGAAACGCTGTGCGACAACAAAAGCGCTACACAAATAGCCAAGGAATTTCAAACTGACAAAAATAAATCGAAAGTTGAACTTTTGTTGTTGCTGGCTGGGGCAGCGGCAGCAGCTGGCAGGACATTTGTTCTGGGTCTGATTGCCATCGAATGTTATATGTATTCGGTCAGGGGCTTTCGTTTGATTTCTCAAGTGTAAACTACGCCCCGGCAAAGACTTTATGCCCTGTCACACAAATATCAATATGAAATCGAGCAAGGATGCCAGCTTACAAATAACCGCAACAGCTGCCACATGCGCCGAACTACTAAAATAGCAAGGACATTAATTGAATGGAGCACGCACTATGCCAACAGGCAGCAAGCAGCAAGCAGCAACCAGCAACCAGAAAGCAGGAGGCGGCAAGGTGCAGGGAGCAGGCAGTAAAAATGCCGTGCTGCAAGTTTTCATTATGCTCAATTTGAAGCCAAATTGAAGAGCCGTCACAGCGATTTAAGCAAGTTGAAAGCAAGCGCTAACTGAATTCAACAGTCGATTGCCCGCATACACCCTCACCTGTTGTTGTTTGAGAGGCAGACAGGTGGTCCGACCAACGCACAGTGGTTGGAAACTCCATTTAATCATGCAATTCAATGGCATTGAAAAAGTTTTTGTTTATTTTGTGCTTCATTAAAATGTCGATGTTGTTTTTTGTTTGCGGTTGCAGCTTTATTTAAAGCCATTTTGGACTAGTTGTGAATCTATTTGCATAGCATTCGCCAAACAAACAACAAACGCAAATAAATCTCATATAATGACAAGGAAAAAGTTTTTAAATTATGCTTAAAACCCCATTAGAAATTAAGCGTAGCACTTTATTTTAATGGAAAAAAATATTGCAGCTTGGAAATTCACTCAAAATCAGATTAAGAGCGATTCAATGAGCGCAAAGCTAATATAATAAATAAATATTGAAGGAGTGTTGAGCCAAAGGCAAAGAAATTTAATCAGCAAATATTTTGCAGGGCAGCCTTGGAAAGGTTATTTAAAAATGCGCAAGAAACTGAGTAAATGTTGATCGATAGTGAATAGAAATGCGCGTGTGTAGCACAGTGTAAGAAACAACGAGAGACCTTTGCAGTTCACGAGCAGCATTTGAATTCAAACAGCGAAGCTCTACACGCAGATTGACTGCAAATGAAACAGCTGCAGGCTGACTTGGTTGAGCCAGACAGGCAGACCAGAGAGTGAGAGAGAGAGGGGGCGAGGTTGGGAGAGAGAGAGAGAGAGACAGAGAGACAGAGAGAGAGAGAGAGAGAGAGAGAGAGAGAGAGCGAGTGAGTGACGTAGATAGGTTGTCAGTTGGCCATTTCCATACTATTGATACGCTTCCATACATTGGCTTTGTGTCAACGGTTCAATACGCTCCACTCCATGCGAACGCTACGCATAACTTTGTGGGTCAATAAGCGTGTAGCATGCCTTACGACCCCCAAAAATGCCATAACGTTCGCTGTCTGTTGCCCCCTTCAATGTGTCTCTCTCTCTCTCTCTCTCTCTCTCTCTCCTTTCTATTTTCCTATCTGTTGCAGTTTGTTATGCCAACTGCGTAGTGACATGAACGGCATGTGCGTATGGGTTTATGTGTATGTGTATGTGTATGTGTTAGTCATGGCTAACAAGTTAGGCCACGTCCACGTTGCACGTTGGTCAAAGAGAAGGCTCCGTTTTGTTTGCCTGTCACAACTTGTGGGTTGCCCTTGTTCGGCCTGTTCTTCTGCCTTCACCCATGTTGCTGCTGTTGTTGGTGTCGTAGTTGCTGTTGCTGCTGTCGCTACTGATGCCATTAACGCGTGAATTGTAGTGGCTGTCAGCAATCGCAGCTACATTGTTGCCCAAAACCCCATACACACACACACACAAAGAGAGAGAGCGAAAGAGAGAGAGAGACATCTCCCACAACTGTGGACCAGCTTTTGAGGGTTAGCCTGATTTTGCTGTTGTTAGTCATCGACTTAGCCATGAAATGCCATTGGTTGTGGTGTCAATCAAGAGGACAGCAACAGCAGCAACAGCAACAGCAGCAACAGCAACAATAGATAACATCGCACGTTTGGCATACAAAATTTGCATATTTGAATAGAATATTATTATATTTTTATTAGAAAAGTCTTGGCTGGCTCTGCATATATTAATATGAAAATTAAATAAAAATCCCTAAATTACATTTTTCTATTTCATATCTGATGTAGCTTAACGCAAACATAAAACTGTCTGAAGCTAGACAGATATGACTGCAGACAGAATCATTTTAAAATGCTTCTAATGGAAAATTGAAATGAAATATTTAAACAATAAATATATTTGTGTATCAAGATAAAAATCACATTTTCAATAAGATTAATTCGAAATAAGCCTAATCCCAAGTTTTAACTGACAGCTCGGGCAGAGTATATGTATTTCCATGTGATGCGAGCGTCGAATGCATCGAGTATTTTTGTGTGGTATTTTCGATTGGAAGAGTGAAAAGTGTGGCCTGTGGGTCGTTTGCATTGCCAGCCACTTCATTATTTTGTTACCGCCCAGCTGCACCTGCTGGCAGGGGTGAGGGGTGTGGTATATGTGTGACACTACGTATTTCTATGCATTCATGCATAATGGCTGGCAAACGTTTACAATAGCTGCAGCATGGATTTCCGCACGCTGCCATTTGCGGTCCATTTGCGGCCTGCGGCCAACCAGGCTGAGGGCTGCGGGCAGCCGGCAGGGAGCTGAAGGCGAGTCGGTCGGCTTTGGTCACCCAGGCGCCGTTAGCATGATTGAAAAACGTGCCAGCTGGGCAGACCGGGGCCGGAGCCGCTCTCTGGCATGGAGGGCATCGAGACTCTAACCTCAGGCCAAGCCCATTGCCAGCTGTGTGCACCGGCTTAAATTGCATGCCATTCTGTGTGCTGTCACTGGCATTGTATTGTTCTGTGGTTTTACTCGATGTTGTTGTTCTTGTTGCTGTTGCTGTTTGTATTTGTGTTGTCGTTGCTGCTGCTGCTTCCCCTTCACAATTACGTAATTTATTTTAACTGTGTCAAATCCACGCCAATCGACAGCGATTATACTGGCAAATTGCAACAATTCCTTGCCAGCCATTCCAGGTCCCGATTGCAATTTGTTAACGTCGCTCGCATCCGCATACGAGCTCGCCCCAAATGGCCACTACGCCATCAGCCCTGCCACTCATTTGGCYGCCCTGTGGCTGCTGCTCGTCTTCGTCTTCGTCTGTTCGCCATCGTCGTCGTCCTCGTCGTCCTCTTCCTCGCCAATTAACCGCACTGTGCTAATTAATTTGCTCATAATTGATGCGATTATGTGTTTCATTTGTGCCCAAAAACAAGCAACAACTGGCGCCTGGGGCAACATCTATATTGCTGCCCCATTTCTTGGCTGCCTCACGCTCTGCTGCTGCAGTTCTTTGCGGCCAGTCCGGGTGGAAATCAAACGAATTGAACAGGCGTCTTGCACAATTTATAGATTTGCGGCGAACTGACCAGCTAGCTGCCACAAGATGTCGGAACTGTGCCAAATTGAAAGCGGAAGTCGTGTTTTGTGGCATTTGTGTGCCCCAGCGCCAACAACAGCAACAACAACAAAAACATTCGCATGCGCCCATTCTGCCCTAAGCTGATTTGTATCTATTGTCTTTAGCCGTTTCAATTGCCGCTTGCCGCTTGCCATCTGCCGCCTGGCGCTTAGCGTTTGGCACGACTTGCCACTTAGCTCGCGGCAACGTCAATCACATGACAAGTGCATGCAACACCGTCGCACGCAATTGTGACTTCATAAAATGACCCACCGTTGCGGTTGCCGCTGTGCTGTCATGGATCTATATGCACCATTGCCCATGGCCCTGGGCCCAAAAACATTGTGTGTCCATTGTGGCTCGCTCTCGTCCCGGCCCTGTGCCTCTGCGCCATTGGAAATTGCGCACGAATTTGCTAAAATGCCAAAAACATCAGCGACAGAGGCATGCAGCAGGACAACAGCTGCCTCGGCTGCTACTTTGGTACTTCATGTAATGTAATGTAATGTTTACCACGTTCAATGTGGGCTGCAGAATACCCTCTAATCGACAAAACAAAAAAGATAATTAACGTAGCAAAATATAATGATGACAGAGAGTCTGCAGCTAAAATAGTCTTGTCTTTAAGCTATTCGATAGTTTTTGCTAATAAATCGTATCCTTCTGCATTTACTGTATCGTATATATGCCAAGGTAATCAATCACTTTGTAGCACTAACACAACGTTTATAGTCAGTCGCACACATCTCACACTGTGCCAGGCTTTGTTGTGCTGTTACGAGCGGCGCCTAGAAGCATGCAACACTTTTTTTGCACAGCGCACAGACAGTAGCTGCACGTACATACATTAGCGTTAAAATCTGTGTGAGTGCGTACGTCTGTGTGTGGGCGGGTGTTGGTGCGTTGGTGTGTGTGAGCTGCACTCGCAGTAGTCGGGTGGTCTGGTAGTCTGGTAGTCGGGTAGTCGGGTTGTGTCGGTAGGTACTTACCATTTAGAACATGCACACGCACACTGGCAACATCTGCGTTTGAGGGGGCGCACGAGTATTTGCCGGAATCGGCCAGATCTGCATTCTGTATGAGCAGAAATGAGGTTGTCACATCGCCCTTTTCGGTAATTACCGACACGCCGCCTCTTGATGAATCATAATTAATGACCTGCAAATGGAAGAGCATTACGCCGAGAGGCCCGGTTAGTGAGTGAGTGTAGGCAGAGCAGAGCAGGGCAGAGCAGAGTGGGTGCTCCGCCCGCTCTGAGCAGTCAAACATAATGTGAGAACAATGGCTGAGGAGCAGCAGATGTAATTTTTTTTATGCTGATGGAGAGATGGGTGCTGGCAAATAATAATAAGCGAGTGCCGCTCACTTTGTATTTTTTCCCCGAGTGTGTTTTTTAACGCGTATGCTTGAATTTCGCATTACATTTTTGTTGTAATTTTCAAATGCGTGTGACAGCAGTGGGTGGAGGGGCAGTTGACTGTGTGGGTGTGTATGTGTGTGGAGTGTAGCAACAGCTGCGCTTGACTGACATTACAAATCAGCGACATGTCAGTGAGTCTTGTTTACTGTTCAGTAATGAATGTCCCCCCCTTTGCCCATCATGCTGCTGTGGACCATCAGCCGAAAATGCGTTTAAAATTGCGATTTTAATTGGAATTTGATAACGGCTCGCATGATTAAAGTTGACTTAAAGGCTCTTTAGATCCCAGAGGAGAGAGAGAATCACAAGAGAGACGTGAGCAGACAGTAGACAGCGTGGGCGCCACTTATAGTTAGTTGGCTGCAAAAATTATGCTAATCAAGTGGGCGAGCGCCTGATTCGGGTTCATTTGGACTAAGAGCTCATTATGACGATGGCCTTTTGTGCGACCGATGGCAACCGCCATCAAAGTCAACTTCATTATCGATTAGGGCATAGGGGGTAAACAGCAGGGCAAAAGTCAAATGTCGACTGTCGACTTCCAGCTGCCGAGTGCTGCTCACAGCAGCCAAATCCAGATGCATGTTTAGTCGGAGAGTGGACCAGATGCTCAAAGCGCTGACAAAAACAAATACCGGAATAATTTACCAATACCAATACCAATATCGATACACAGGGCAAGTTCAGAGAGCAAGGGCAGATTGAGAAGAGATAGAGAGAGAGAATTGACGGAAAAGAGCAGAGTAAGTAGCTGACATTAACACATCATGTCGTTGACAGCGACAAGAAAATGGAGCCAACAACAGAGCCAGAGGAAATGAGCAGCTGTAGTATATCCTCCCTTGGCCGACAGAGCGGGCTGGAGGGGCAGTGTGGCAATGTGGAAGCGGGGAGCGGGCGCATAATTTGCTGTCTAATCTCAACTAATCGACGGCATTTGCAATAATATGAAAAATGAAAGAAAAGTTGGCGGCGCTGATAATGATGACGATATGGAAACGTACATGCAGCTGTTTCTATGGCCACGGTTAAGGCATACGCCGTATAGCTGTAGGTATGAAAATGTGGATAGACATATATAAAAAAAAAAAAAAAACAATGACAATGCCCGAAACTTTGGCTTAACAACTTTTGCACAGGCAAGTAAAAAGTTTGCCTATCAGCGCGAATCGGGGCAGGGAGCAGATGAAGGGGCCGGGGAGGGTGGGAACTAACAAAAGTCTGGCTGCCATTATAGTCCATTGCTGTCGTCGCTATCAGCATAAATTTCGTATTTGTATTATAATGCTTGTAGTTGTAGTTATTTTGTTGTTGTTGTTGTTTTTGTTCCTCGCAAATTGGTTAATGAAAGCGACGGCTCACCCTGACAGGCATGCTGTCAGACAGACAGACAGACGGACAACAGACGAGCGGACAGACTGGTAAATGCCAAATGGCAACTGACACCGCCCTCCCCACTCGTTCCCCTCCACTGTCCACGTAAATTGGAATAATATTTTGCAACAGAAGCGGCTGCATCAAAAATTTACAATTTTACTACCCCATTGGGGGACTGCAGATGTTTGGAGCACACATACACAGAAACAAATAAAAGAAAAAGAAAAGTACTAAAAATGCGCATATATCCGATTTATGTGGCACTTGGCAGCACAATAATCGAGCATAACAAAAAACCAAAGCAGTTAAATGTACATAAAAGTCTGTCATGCTGTCGGACCAGCAGCTGCCAGTGGTGCCGAGGCTGACAGCCAGCTAATAGCTGGCTAAGTCCACTCAACAGTTCAGGAAACTTTCGCCGACCGCACACTTAAGCGTTCTGCATATTACAAGCGCCGTCAGCGAGGGCCGCTCGAGAAGTTACAGCGTAAGCTGGACTTAAGCTCAGCTTTAATTACGCCATGGCCAGTCATAATTCGCAACCAACTTATGACCGACCCCCGCTTCAGACGGGCATATGCCAGAAGCCAATGCGGAAACGCCAGCAAAGCAAGGGAAGCAAGAGTCAGGCGAGCCAACACCGAGAGAGGAAATATGTAACACGTTAATTACAATTAGCAAGCGGATGTGCGCGAACGAAAAAAGTGTTGAATACATTTAAGCGCAGCGCCTGGCAGCAGCAAGTGCATCAACTAAGTTTATCCATCCATTAAACTAATTAACAGCAAATTTGCATGGATCGTAAATAATCCCTGTGCAGCCTGGGCGAGGACGCTCGACTTGTGCTAAGGTTGTGGCTGCACATACACCCAACACACACGCCACACACTACACACTACACACACACACTCACATTCTTGTACGGCCACCTGCCAGAGGCACACAATTGTGGCGCGTGGCTCTGCAAGGATTTTAATTAGAAAATTCCAGAAGTACAAGTGCCAGCCAGAAGTGAGCGGCAGCAGCAGCAGAGGCGGGAGCAGCGGCATCTGCAGCGGCATCGGCAGCGGCAGCAACTGCAACAGCAGTTGGCAGCAGGATTTGTGCACTTTTTAACACGTTGCCAGCACCAGCGCCTTCTCTTTGCCTTTGGCCCAAGTCACATTTTCTTTTTCTTTTTTTACTCCATTTTTCGTCGCTGTTTCGCTTGGCATTTGCATTGCAATTAGCTGGGCACTATAACGACCACGTCTAGGACTCTCAATGCCTCTCTCTCTTTCTCTCTTTCTCTCTCTCTCTCTGTCTGTCCCTCTCCCTGTGAGTGACCCTGCTCATGGAGCGCTTTAAGCGCTTTTAATGCCGCGCAATTAGCCAGGCTGTTTATGCTGTTTAAATCGCTTGCAACTAACACAACTAATTGTCGGACAACAGGGCGAGGCGACCAAGGATAATGCAACCACCTGGATGAGCAGGCTGTTGTTTTCATGTTTTTCATGTTCAGCTGATGTTTGCACTGCAGCGCCATTGACCCACTTTTTGTCCACTTGCCACATGCAACTGTGTTCATTTGCACATTAAAGCCATTCGCACAGTAAAATCAGCGACTGTCACTTCAAATTATGTCATCGGCTGGCAGTGCAGATGCGGTGAAGCGATAACTTCTCTGATTGAAGTTGCAGTGCAGCGTGGACTCAGGGCAGGGGCGTGGCAGAAACAGATAATTTATCGGTGAAAATAAATTGTAATTCAATTCAAGCAAATATCTAATTAAAATTGTGTCTCATTAGGAATATTTCATTTGTTTTAACAACTAGTTGAACTGTCAGCTAGGCTGACGGTCACAATGGCAGATAAAACAGAAAAAGATACAAATAGAATAAGAGAAAAACAAGAAGAAACCAAATTTTCGGTACAATTGTTACAATAAAGTTTAATTACCTCCTCGTGATGGTACCAGAATATGTAGGCCGGCGGCTCGGGGCTGAACTTCACAGTGCAAGTGAGATTTATGGTGCTGCCTTTATCAACATGAAGGTCAGGTCCGCCAAGTATGGTCGCCGTTGGCACTGTCAACAGGAAACACCAATGAAAAACAGCAGACGAGTCACCGAAAAAAATAAAAATGGAAAGAGAGACGAGATGAGGCTGTGTATAGAGAGGATGGGGGCATAGGAAAAAGAAATGCTGTTAAACGAGTCAGACACGGGCAAAGCTGACGGGCCGGCCGCATAGGTAGGAGGCTCGAGCTCTGCTAGCCTGGCTGACACTGTAGAATAATAAACTACAAGATAAAATGAAATTATTGTCGTATAAAAAGCAAGTCCTCGACGTTCCATCGCCTTGCCACTCGACATTGTACCCAACCTCATCCTCATCCTCATCCTCATCGTCGTGCTCATCCTTATGCTCGGCGTCGTCTTCGTCTCTGCGTCTTTGGGCTGTGCGTGTTCCTCACTCGTTTGCTGTATGTAATTTATTTGCTCAACAACTTTTTTGCTTGCCTTCGTGGCGCGAGTGTCCTTTGGCTTTGTTATTTGCGACAAATGGTTGATTTTTTTATTTTATGAAGCCAAAGCGAGAGCCAGAGGCACCGCCGCTGTCCCAGTCGCTGCCGCTGCCAATGTCAATGCCTATGCTGAGCTGATGCTCTCCACACATAAGCGTAATCGCTGTGTGGGAGCGGGCAGTTGTCTTCACCTACTCAGACTCATGCTCGCACTCGCATTCGTACTCACCGACAACATTTAGACGTACAAAATAACTGCGAACGGGCTGGGTTGATATCTGGCACTCGTACATGCCCGCATCTCGCTTCTGGGCCCATTTTATCTGCAGCGTCCAGTCGTCGGTGTCCTGGTGATGTGTGGCCTGAAACCTCTGATCGGACGTGTACGTATAGGAGCCCACTGTCAATATGTGTATGTCCCGATGCCGTATCCAGGATACCTGCATGGAAAAAAACGAAAAGCAAGCAAACAAAGATATTGCACGGAATGTCAATCAAATGAAGTACTCGATATCACAGCGAGGGCAATTCAAGGGGGCGAAATGTTTTATGGCCAACAAGAAACGAAAGCAAAGATAATCGAAAGGAGGTGACTTATTTGATCAAGGGTAAATTTTAAATGGATATTGCCCAATGTGTCTCTGCCACTCTGCCCTTCCTATAATCGACATACCCCATTCTAGCCGCCTGACAAAAGGCTGGGTATAACAGCCCAAAATCTTTTTGTTTATGGTCAGAGGTAAAAAGCTGGCATTAAAAATGCAGCAATTGAAAAGCGAATTGCTGTCGCAGTGCAATCAAATTCGAATGAAATGCGCAAGGGTATCGCAGGGCTTCTTCAATATCCCTTTCTTCTCGGACTGTGTGTGCCTGTGTGTGTGTGAGCTGGATGGATGTCCTTCAGCGATTAATCAGCAGCCATGGCGCATTCTCGCATTGTTAATGGACGCGTATCTCATCCAAGTTGATGGCACACATGACGTATACGCAACGTGAGCTTGTTGTTGTTGTCTGGCTACGGCAAGTTTATGGCCGTGTCGTAGTCCTTGATAAATCCGGGCATGGGCATGTTGAGAGTGCGCTTGAAACAGTAGTTGCTTTTTTGGCTCTTTTGCTGCTGGTGAGTTTTGAGTTGTTTTTAGCTTTAGCTTAATTATAACAAACTTTTTAAGTACTTGCAGCGCTGAGTTACAACTTTGTAAGCTTAATGCTAAACAGCATTGCACTCTATCTCTCTCTGTCTCTCTCTTTGCCTCTCTCTTTCTCACTATCGCTGTCTCTGTCTCTGTCGCTGCCTCTGTCTGACACTTGATATGCACAACTTATTAAGTCAAATGCAAATGCAAAATTATCGCAGTTGGCAGTTGCTGTGCTTCAAAAACTTACAAAATGTTGCCTGCAGTCCCCTCATACGCGGGGCGTGGCAAATTTTGGTGCGTGCGTTTAATTATACGAAATGTTGTTGCACACTAAACAATGGCGAGCCTCACACACACACACACACACGCACATCGAACAAGCTGGAGCCACTTGGCGGACTGTCGGTGCGACGCATGTGGGCCGCAATGAGTGTATAAAAGTGTGAAAAACATGTCGACAAGGGGCTGCCATTAAACAAACATTTTACGCAACAAATTAAAGTGTAATTAACAAGTGCACGCTGTGCTCCATCAACAACAACAACAACAACAACAGCAGCAACTGCAACAAAACACGCATCGCCTGACAATGTCCCAGTGCACGCAGCTCCCCTTTGCTTCTATGCCCAGTCTCCAGCATATTAGCAGCAACGCCTCTGCTGCAACACACACACACACACACATGTCACTCCCCCCTTTAAGTACACACACACCCATCAAAGCGCACCCAACATGTCCTGCTGAGCTCGTTTCGGTTTGTTGTTTGGTTTTCTCGGCTCGGACTGCGCCAAGTGCTGTTGACGCGTGTGGCGAGTGCAATTTTCACGAAATTGTTTAAATAATTTCGCGCTTAAATGCAATTGCAAGTGTTTTGTGGCAGGGGGCGACAGTGTGGCGTGGCAGCGTGATGGCGGGAGTTGCAATGGGCGTGGCCAGCCAAAAAGAGCCAACCGCCCACAGCAGTTAGTCGCTGACGTGTGGCAACTTCCACTCGACGCTTTTGTGTGTTGCCAAGAAATTAAAAGTTGCTGCATGCTGCAAGTCCTTCTGGGTGCCACAAACTCCTGCTGCCGCTGCTGTTGCTCCTCTAGTTCGTCCCCCACTACTACTACTCCTGCTGTTGGCTGCTCTTGCCGTTGGCGCATTTATGTCAAGTGCTCGGTAGTTCAGCGCGTGTGCTCAAAGTTTGTTGGTTTTTGGCATTTGAAGCCCTGTTTGTTTGCCTTAGCACCGCGTGCGACGCATTGTTTGTTAATGAGCGTTCGAATCTTTTCGGCAAGCACTTGTTTCCACCCAGCTCCCGGCTCTGCCCGGCCGTGCCACTGCCCTGCTGTGCACCCCGGGCAGCGGGCACGTGCCGCTCTTTGGGGGACTCCAATGATTAATCGCACTGCGCAACACTTTCGCTGCCTAATTATTCATAAACTTGTCTGTTACGCATATTAAAAAAGTTCAGAGAGGCGCCGATAAAAAATTGTCACGCACAGATGGCATTTCTGACAGTCAGACATTTCATTCCATTTAATAACTTACACTTTACGCAAAATATATATTCCGAAGGAGCAAATGAGTAATTAATGTTTTAAAGAAAGCCTTTATCATATATCATCTTTATCATCATCAGAAGCTAAACTGAAAACATTGAGAGGCATATCGAAGCATATCTATGAACAGCTCTTGCTGAGAGATCCTTTAGGTTTCATAACTGTAATATGGCTACAGTCTCACATATTAGTTGAGCAGTGTAGCTACCAGTCTTAGTCGATCAGTGCCCACTTGAGCCCCCCTCACAGCAGGCGGCAGCAGCAGCAGGTCGCCTTGGGAGCTACGGCTTGGCAGGCTGTCTCTTAAATAGATGATACAACGTGGCAGGGCGCAATTAAAGCAGATAAACAAAGGAAACAATTGCAATAACAGTCTGCCGCTTACAGCAGAACTGAATGAAACAATTTCTAAATTTCTAAAAGAAAACAACTTAATACGGACTTAGGGCGCAGGACGCAGGACGCGACCTCTCCCACTCTAGGCTGCCATCAAGAAAAGGTCCTTTTGCGCAGCACCGCACAGCTCGGCACGTCGCAGACAATACAAAAATAAAAATATAAGAAAAAAAAAAAAAAACAACAACAAATTGGGTGGGGCATGTAAGTAATTAAAAATTTCGCAGTCATGCTAGGGGAATTACATTCTGGCAACGCGTCTGTCGACCAGGTTGGCAAATCAACGAAGTCAACAATTACGAAAGCAGCCAGAGTGAGCTGGGCGAGGCTGAGAATAACCAAACAATTGGTGGGCGTGGCAGCCGGCTGGATGGGCGTCAGCGACACACATCGCCCGGATGGGGGGCGGGTAATGTCAAAAAACTTTAGAGGTTGAAGCGGATCGTCACGAACAGGCGAAAAGTTTTAGCCATCTAGCTGCTGCTGTTGCTGTTGCTGCTGATGTTGCTGCTTCTAGCTGTTAGTTGTTGGCACTCACCGTTTTGTTGGCCAAATTGCGCACGCGGCAACTGAGATACGCGGATTTGCCCATGAGGGCGGTGACATTGCGGGGCGTCGAGGGATCAAAATATGGCTCCATCCATTTGGGATGCGTGTAGGCGGCAGTGGGAATCGTGGCCAGTCCTGACGGCGTCGTTGCCAGCTCATCCAGCGAGTTGTAGCCCTCGATGGGTCCATGTACGCCGCCATTTGTCATATCTGCAACGAGTTGCCAGGGCAAAATCAAATTCAATTAATATCTCTCACTGACTAATTAGAAATTGATCAAATTTTACTTGTGTGTACACAGTTTATAGTTATTAAGAGCTTTACTGCGCAGCGCTTTTAAATATGTAAACAAATATCACGCATACGCCCTAGAGCCGAGTTTTTAATAATTCATTTGACCGTTTGGGATTTTTCCCATTTTTGTATGTCAAATGCAAAGCCGATATACAAAATATTTATGGAAACCCACATAAATACACTTTGACCAATTTTTTTGTTGGCTACACGAAACATTTTAGTTATAAAATAAAAAAAGAGGCAAAATGAAAATATTTCGGAATTTGCCTTTAAGTTCATAAGCCAAAAAGTTTTGGGAAATATCAAATGTCTCCATTTACTGAAACTCTCCAGTCTTTTTTTTTCGTGCTATATGCAAGTCCGAGTGTGTTTTTTCCGTCGCTCGTCAGAAAATATTTAAAGCTCGTTGACAAAAGTGCAGAAAAGAGAGCAAAAAAAATAAAAATGTTGTGGCAGCAACTTTTCAGCGTGCGACATTTGCTTGCAGCGAGCGACAGCAAAATATAAATAAGAAGCACGCATCAGGTGAAAATTCAGAAAAAATCAAAATGTCACAGCCTCTGCATGGCCACACACTTTATATCTTGACAGCACTCGTCAGCCTCGCCAGGCTGCAGCTTGACTTTTGTCATCGGCTTAGAGAGTGCGACAGAGATAAACTTTGTTCATTAAGCCGGCTGCCCGTCGACCGTTGGGCGAGGTTGGACGGTGTACAAGTGGCCACAATGGCAGCCACTGGCAACTCTTTAGTTTCAATTTAGAAATGAACCACTGAGCCACTGAACCACTGAAAGGGCATCAGCGAATGCCGGGGCAAATGCATTTCAAAACCGCAAGCAGCTGCAAAAATGAACGCACAGGGAATGAAAATGGGATGCGCGCCAGGGTAGGCAGCGGCAACGGCAGGGGAAGTCAAGGAAGGGGGCTGTTCGGCTGGCCCAGACACGGAGGGCAGGCTTCAAGCGAGTGAAGTGTTTGCGGTTGGCAAGTACAAGTGCACACACGGACATACACGCACAAGAAAAATGAAATTGTGTCACTGCTTACATCACGAGGCAGGCAAAATCCACACACACACACTCACACTCATGCATGCCACACTCATGTAGGTAAACCGCAAGTGACTGCATGTGTGTGTCTATATGGAAGAGTCGAGCTCATGGTTATGCAAAATATTTGCACTCAAATCATATTTCAAGGATTAAAACTTGCATTCATTCGAAAGCTGTTTTTCCACATGCACGCCTTTAGTCACACATACATACACACGCACAGACTTACTTATACAGAGACATCTATGGCCGCTCTCAACTTCGGCTTCATTAAACAAAAGGTTTCCAGCATATGACGCGCATTTGTATGCATGTATTGCCGCCTCCGTGGGCGTGGCATGCATACGATAGATGCTTAAGCGTAATACGCTTAATACCCATTGCACAGAAAATTGCACAAATTTGCTGTAAATATTGCATTCACTTTTAATAAAACTGCAGCAGAGCTCTTCATCTTCATCTTTTTTTTTTTTTTGCTGCCCATAAAAGTATGCTACGTATTTTGCAAAATCTCCCAGACAAGCACGCAACAGCTTTAAAGCCAAGCCGTCGAGCTGTTGGGCAATATGCGCAGGCAATCAAAAAAAAAAAAAAAAAAAAAAAAAATTCAATTGCCCCAGCTGAATGTGCTTCATTTCAGGCCTCTGTGAGGAAGTGTGAGTGTGTATGTGTGTGTGTGTGGAATGGCATTGAATGTGCTGTTTGGGAAGGGGTGATTGAGTGTTTGCTTAATCATTACGCAGGCTGTGCACGCCCACTGACTGCCTGGTGGGCTGGCTGGTTGGCCTGAATGGTGGGTGGGCAAGTAGGCTTCTCATACAATGACTTTGCATACTTGCGTTTAATTTGAGAGGACAACGCAACGGGAACGGACGCAACGACTGCGTGGAGCAATTAGGAAAACTTTTGTAATTTTCATGCCGATATTTTTGGCTTATTTTGTATACCCTGCTGAGTAGGAGGCATATTTATGTATGTGTATGATAACGGCATCAAGTTTCGCAAGACTGTTCGAATTGCTCTGATGCTTCTTGAAGGCAATGTCTGAAGATTCATTGCTCTTGCATCAAAGGGTATTTTGAAGGCAGCCACTTAATTTGTCAGCCACAAGCAACTTGGGTAATTTTGGGAAATTTGATCCTGTTTCACTAAAATCATGCCTAATGTGTAACACTTTGAACCCGTAGCTCAATGAATTTGGTGCCTACTAATTGCTTGCTTATTGGGGGTGTTTTATGGCATTGAATTTGTAGTCAATTTCGGCACACTTCATTGCCTTTGATATCTTCTGTCTGCATCTGGATGTAGCTGTGCCTGTGTGTGCCTGTGCGGGTGTGTGTATGGGTAATTAAAAATCAACATAAGGCGTCAATAGTTGAGCTGCTATTGCCGAGTCCTCGCACCATTAATTTCCCACTAATGCAACATGACGAGCGCTATTCTGATTGGAATTGGCTTGTCCTGTCAGATAATGGAGAATGGAAACTGGAGAATCGTGCGGGGATTGTACGAGCGATGCTGGTCCTACTGCTACAGCCGCGCACGCTAGCATGAATAATGATGCCTTTTGACATTGTCTAAGTAGTTTTATGCGTGGCAACATGAGTCGACTGGAAATACCAACTGCTCGCAGCTTTGCTCGATGGGCTGTCATTGAAGCTAAACTGGACGGCGCGCTGATTGCCACTCGCGTATGCATGTGGCACGCAGTCGGCACCTTGGCGTTGACGTCGACAGCGACAGAACAGCGACGTCGCCGTCGGTGGCTGCCACTGTTGGCAACCACTTAACCACTCAACCACTCAGTTACTTATTTATTTATGTGCTGCGCAATGCATTGCGCGGCTTTTGTTGCCAACATTCTACGCCCTCATTCAGCGAACGATGCTGCCTTTCGCCGGCTGCGGCTGCGGCTGCCGTCTTAATTAAGCTTAAATGATGCTGCAAAATTTATTTCATTTCGCACTCGAGACTGAGCCTGAACCTGTGTATGAACCTGTTGTGGGAGCATCTTCTATACGCGCGGCATGCATATAAATTATCCAAGCAAATTACATGGCACACAGCGAAAATTGAAATGTGGCTACTGTGACATGTGTGTGTGTGTGTGTGTGTGAGTGGGTGGGTGGCTGAGTCCAGGAGTTGGTTCAGTTCGGGCTGACTGCACAGCTGTCATATTTGTTTTATTCACAGCTCAGCGTTGATTAATTTGAATGTCCTTCATTAAATCATTTCAATCGGAATGTGCATCAACTGTTCGCATGATTAATTTCTAAAATAGTTCGAAATTGCATTCAGAAGTAAATTAAACATTTTGAATCTCTTTAACAATTGTAGAAAATTCAATTGCTTACACATTTAAATTTATGCAAATAGACAAAAGAAATGTTCTACATTTCCAAGCATTTAGCACCATTTAAAATCCACTTCAGATTTTCCTCACTGACTACTTTAAGTAAATTAGTTAATGCATCATTTATTGAATTCACAGCTATCTTAAATGCTGGCCAAATACTTAAACGAACTTGGTTAAGAATTTAAGAATATTGGCGTGCAGTTTGTAATGGCATTCGAAAACCCTTTGAGCTATGAGCCCTTCGGTATTCGGCTAAATTTCAGCCTTTGTCTTTAGAGTGAGTCTTTTTGTAACTTGTTATCCGTAACGTTGATTGACAACATTTTTGTGCAATGCTTTTGTTGCTGTTGTTGGTCTTCTTCTTCTCGCTGCTGCTGTTGTTGTTTTAGTTTGTTTGTCTTTGCATAGCCACTTCGACTGACAAAACATGCGATACGATGCGACACGACAAGACAAGAACAACAGCCAGGCAATACAAACACACACACACGCAGGAAGAGAGAGAGAGAGAGAGAGAGAGACGCACACACTCACACATAACTCATATATGAAATATTCGTAAAATTTCATACAAAGTACAAGCAAGTGTCATGTGTGTGTGTGTGTGTGTATAAGTGCTGTATGAGGCTGTGAAAGCTGAAAACATAAAATTAAGTTTACTCTACAAGAAGTTGCCTGGTTTTGACTGCTTCGCTGCCTGGCTGGCTGGCTGGTTGGCTGGGTAGAAAGGCTGGCTGACTGCCTGCATCTGGCAGGGCTTATCACCTCTGGCCTTACCGCTGAAGCTTATAATGAAGCATTGTTTGTTGCACAAAGTTTGGAACGGAATGAAAACAGCAAGAAACCAGCTAAGAGCCAACAACAAGTCAAAGCATTCATGTCTCGAAGAAAGTCAAGTCTCACGACATGCCTGTGTGTGTGAGTGAGTATGTGTGTGCATGTGTGTGAGGGCATTTGCGAAGTATCTGGTTGGCTGACAAGATATTAAAATAATATTTACAAAGACTGAAGTGGTGCGTAGGATAATGCATAAGATGCCGGGCAGCCGTACAACACCAGGGACTCGACAGACTCAAGCAGAGTCAAGCACAGGTTGATGATAATAAGCAGCATCTGCATTCGAATTTGGCAACGTGATAGCCTGATTAGAGCCGGCAGGTCTCTGGCCCTTTTGGTTATTGTTCGGCATTTTCGACAATGTCCACTTGTTTTTATTAATGATCATCATAGATTTTCCAATCAGAAGCAGTAATCCCAGGGCTCTCCAATGGCAACTGGAATAGCAATCTACAGCAAACACGCTGTGCGTATTTCACTCAGCCTCCTGCTGCCATTATCCGGCACGCACTTTCCCATCTCAACATTATTATTTTCTTCCTTTTATTTTGTGCTCGGCAGACAGGACTCAATTCAATCGCTTGGAAAAGGGTCACAAATGGCGTTTCAAAATGTCACTTGGCACTGAGACTTGTTTCTCCTTTCGCTCTTTTTTTCTGTCGATGCTG